AAAGAGAGAGTAAAAGGAAGAGGTTCGAGGTTGGTTTTATGAGGGGAAATGAAGTGTTGAGTAGAGAATGTAGGAGAAATTAATTGTGAAGAAAGATAATAAACAGATGAAGAAGAAAGAGCAAGACTAGAAGCAAGAATAGAAGCAAGAGGCATTCAATTGTAGAAAGAGATTGTGAGATGAAAAAGGTAATGAGCAAATTATAGAAAAAAATTATTTTTCATTCATTCTATTTCACTTATTTACTTATTCATTTAAAGAACATTTGGCATACTGTTTACTTTTGTATTTCAATTTCAAATTTTTTTCGTCCATTTGATTGATTATTTGAGAAACTATTTGATAAAATCCAGAAAAACCATCACCTATTGAGATCTTTGTTGGAATGCGACCCATATCTGCTGTTATCTTTATTTTTCGCTCTAGACTCCATTAATATCAATTGACCTTTATTAATTTTTCCGTGTTTAATCCACCGAAGTTTGACAATCCAGGGACCCACGCCGAGAATCAAACAATGCATTTGATTCGACAATTAAATGACGAATTGGATTAAAATACGTAAGTCTTAACATTTCAGACCACAAATGTTTACGAAATATACTATTGTCTTTCTTTATTTGTCTTACATGCAAACCAACCTTTAGCATCATTACGTATCTCTTTCTTTAAACCAAGATCCCAAATCACTAAATCCTCCAAAATTTGGTTTTCCATTTACCAAATTAGATTTTTTGTAACATCTATAGCATCCAATCAATGCTGAAACATGGCACAAAGTTTTCTTGCCGCAGGTATATCATTTGAACAACATATAATAGCGACTCTAACCTTTTTACATTTGGGTGTTTTCAGCAACTGGAAGATCGAACCATCTCAAAGGCTCAATAATGTATCGACGATTGGTGAAGGAAATGATTGATTTTGTGTGTCTTTACCTCATATGGTCCTGGCAACAAACATAATGTCAGCATGAGTTCCGATTTAAATCTAATTTCCCTAGGTAAATAACACCATATATTATACCCGAGCTATAAACTGACGATTCAAAAGGTTGGAACCAATCTAAGTAAATCATGATTCCTAAATTAGAATCAGCTGTCTCTTTTGAAAAAAACGGGGAATCTGAAATATCAGAAGTTGGAAATGTCTTCCGAATCCTCCCATCATAGATATCCGAAAACAAACCATCTTAGGTTTTTTATTTGTCCATTTTTGTAACAATTCCTCAAAACAAGGTCGCTGATTCAGTGTAGTTATTTGGTATTTAATATCTGGCAATGAAATTCTAATATTGGTCGTTGAATGTATCCATTAACGATAGAAATTTTTTTTTTTTTTTTTTTTGTTAATTTTGTATTACAGACCTTTGTGTTTTTTTTCAATAGATGGTGAGGAAATTCTTTATAGGTACATTTCTCTAGATTATTACTATCTTTTAAGTTATAAAATTTGTTACATTTTGGACATACAGTGTAACGTTTGAATTTGTCCGGAATCCCAATGATTTTTTTTGCCATATATACTGAAGATGGGAATTTCTTGATTTTTGAAATATCAGTACCAGTTAATACAAAATGAAAGAATTTAATCGAAGAGTCAATTGCTGTGGATGGTAACTTAAATTTGCTTGAAATTTGAAAATCCAAATTATTATCCTCTTAGAGGATGCAAAATATTTATGATCAACATTAAATATTTTTTTCAATATAATCTTCTTGAAGCTTAGATGCATGGAATACATAAATAAATTGTCTTATTCTATCTAGTTCAAGTTCATTATAATCATCAACATCAATATAATTAACAATGTTAGAATTAACATTAAAAAATTCATCATCTTCATCACTATTATCTTCAGATTCTTTTTTAATAGTTAAATCATTAATGGGTTCTTTAAATTTGTCATATTTTACTTTTTTCTTTTGAAAATTCTTTTCAACATTTTTGATTTTTGATTCTTTACTAGATATCTTATTATTATAATGTATTACAGATTTTTCATTTAATGTTGAATCATTAGAATTAATTTATATAGATAATTTTTATTTATGTTCTTTTTATTAAACTCATTTTTTATTTTTTATTATATGCAAATTATATAAATATCATAAATAAATTTTTTAATATTAATATTAAATTAATATTAAACTTTTCAGTTTTTAATTATTTAAAATATTATAATAATTACTTTATCAAATAATAAGAAAGTTGCTTTTATATTTTTACATTCTTAATTATGATACATAAGTTTTTGTTTATTTTTAAACAATTAATTGTATAGTCTACCTTTAATATAACGAATTTTGATATAATGAACTATGTAATACTTAACTAATTAAATATGTTAATTTTTCCTTTTTATAATGAAGTAATCAAACAAATTCTTCAAATTTTTCACTAATTTACTATAATAAAGTTAAGATGCAGAATAGCTACTTCACTATATTAACAATAAATTGTATATACTTAATATTACAAAATTTATAATTAGATAAAGAAAAGAAAACTATAAGTAATTTATTTTTTAAGTGAAAAAGAATTATCTAAAAAAAGCAGAAGAACTTATAAGAAATTTAAAGATAAATAAGATTTTTTTAAATTTTAAAATCATTATAGTACTAACAGAATTTCAATAAAAATTATAATTATTTTTTAATTTTATTTAAAAATTTGTCAAATTAATTAAAAATTTTAATAAAATAACTTTGTAAAGTGTAAAATAAAATATTTACTAAAAAACTCTTAATAATAAAAAAAAAAATAGATTTTAATATAAAAATCTTATTTTATAAAAATACAAATATAAATATAAATTAAAATACAAAAAAAAAATGAATACAAGTAAAAATAAATAAAAGATAATTTAAGCATTTTACATTATAATAATGTTATTAAAAAAATTATCCAAATATCATTAAAGAAATAAATAGTTATTAAAAAAATAAGGTTTTTGAATATATTATATATTATTTATTATTATTTATTTTTTAGAAAGAATTATTTACAAGATTTCTTGATGAAAAATATTGAATATTTTAAGATTAAGTAAAATTGATCAAAAAAGAAATTATTTTAATTATTTAAAAATAATTAATAAAAGTCAATTTTATTATATAGATAGTATTTTATATAAATTGATTTATCAAAGACATAGATACTAACATAAACAAATATAAAAACACAAAATGAGATAACTTTTAATAATTATTAAATTCATGTAAATAGATGTAAAAGTTGTATATGTAATTAATTATTTTAATAAAAATAATTATTTTATTTTATTTTTACAGAAAAGAAGAAGAAAGATATTAGTTATCTAATATCTTCATTTAATTAATAATTCTACAATTAATAAATTTTAGATTAAGATTTAGATTTAATCTATAAAATAATTTATACTATTAATCAGAAATATTTTTAACTAAAAAATAATAATGATAATAATAGACTAAAAATTTTTGTATAAAATCTGATATAAAAATTATCAACAGTATCATTTATTAATAGAAAAATAATTAATAAATTTGTTTTAATATATGATTTAATTATTAGAATCTTATTATAGCTATGATGAGATATATCTTTATGGTATTTTAAGAATTACAATAATTTATTAAAATAAGATATTAATAATTTAATAAAAAAATTTCAAAAAGATAATATAATCAATCAGCAAAAGGAATATTATGAAGATATTTTAAATAGTTATTAATATTTATGCTATTAAAATAAAAATATATATCATTATTATATAAAATAAATAAATAAAACTTGTAATAATTTATAAATAAATTATTATATATTAAATTCAGCATGTAAATTTATATATTTTGTTAAAATCTAGACATATAATAATTATATAAATTGTTTTTAAACAAATCTGACAAAAATAGTAAAATATTTTTTATTTATTAGTAAATAATTGATAATAAATTAGTAAGATATCAAAAATAATCAATTAACAATCAGTATAAAAATTTGGTTAAATTCAAAATGTCTGATTTGATACATTTTTTTATCTGATATTTTACTAATTTTTAAATATTGAATTTTTATTTTTGATTACTGAATATTGTTAGAATATGCTAAAATTCAATAATAATCAAATAGAAAAATCATTACTATTGTTATACAAAAGAAGATATGGATGATGATGATCTAAAGGATGATGTTGATCCCTAAGAAATTATATATATCTTCTATGTCATCTATATCGTCTATAATATATATTTCTTTTATACAATATATTTCTTTTATTTATTTTATCTTATTTATCTCATATATTTATTATAT